ATAACCTACCAAAAGTGGATAAATAATGAAAAGACAAAAATGAAAAGAATAAAAGGAATATAGAAAACGTATTGTTATTGATGTGGCATGAAAGATCATTGGTCGTGTACCTGTTATACATCTTAAATTTTATCAAGCATCATTTAAAATTAAAACATATTGTGATAATTTTAACCATAGCCAAGTTCATATAAGACTTCAAGATGTTTATCCACCCTGAAAGAGGAATTGATTATATGATTAGTAATGGAAATATCCATTATTGATTTTCTAGTCTTAAAAAAGGAATTGATCATTCGATTAGTAATACAAATATCTGAGAATGAACTTAATGACAATTGGTATATTTTAGTATAACTATATTGTGAAGATGCTTTAATATGTTTTTATTATATTTAAATGATAAGTTCTTATTATGTATTTGAATTATATATTTAATATTCTTTTATGTTAACTTGCAAGTTTCTTATTGTATATATCTTATTTTATTGAAAAAAAATATGGACATTCATATTGTTGGATTCAAGATCTATGGTGTAAATATATGTCTAGCAAACATTGCTATAACACACACTATATTTAAAGAAAAGAAATATTTTTCCTACTTGACAAAAAACAACAATGTCAATTCAATATCTGGTAGTACAAGATTAATTGAAAGCTCTAAAAAAACTAGTATTTTACTATCTTAAGGAATAAAGTGATAGAGGATGTATTATTTTTTATTAAGTCTCAAAGAAGTTTATTAAGTTTTAAAGATATTCATCTGATAAATATCATATTGAAACAATGAATGAAAGAAATACTTAATACCTCCACATTACATCTATCTTAAGTAGGAAGTGTGTGTTGAAAAAAAACTTATTACTCATTTTACTCTCTGGATTAAACTACACAAATATTAGAATAATTAAAACCTATAGTAAACTAGAAGTTTACTAATGATTTTAATATTTAGCATGACCAGTTGGACTATCTTGGATCAATAATGATGCTAAAAAAATTAAAAATTAATATGATCATTTATTCAAAAACTAAAAGATTTTTCAATATGATGAAATATTCATGTGCTATTTACTATCAAGGCAAATAAATTATGTGGCTATCACTAATTAAAGTTGAGACTGAATTCCCCATGTTTTTGAAACATATTCAGGGTTATACATGTGGATTCATACATTCACCATATGGATCATTTAGATATTTTATAGTTTAATAGATGCATCAACTAAATGGTATTATCAGCTTGCAATTTGGCATTTGCAATCATTCATTTGCAAGCACGTTTCTTGGTTATGTAATTAAGACTATTCGTCTTTACAATTTTGGTGAATTTACATCTTAAGCTTTTAATAAATATTGTATATTAGTTGGGATAACTATTGAACAGCCTGTTGCTTATATTCATACAGAAAACGGTCTAACAAAATCATTTATTAAACACTTCTAACTAATTGTAAGGCCATTACTTATGAAATTCAAACTCCCAATGTCTACTTAGGGTCATACTATTTTGGAAGTAACAGCATGTATATGCATCAGGCCAAACGAGTTATTACAAATGCTCCCTTACATGATTGGTTTATGGTCAGGAACCAAATATTTTCTATCTAAGAATTTTTGGATTTGTGGTATATGTTTCAATTGTTCCACCACAACACATAAAGACGAGTTCTCAAAAGAGGTTAGGAATATATGTTGGATATTAATCTCCATTTATAATTAAATATTTAAAATTATCAATAGGAGATTTATTCATGGCAAAGTTTGTCGATTGTTATAATGATGAAATAATTTTTCCAACATTAGGGGCAGAAAAATAAGCAGTTGAAAATGACAATTTTTTAGAATGAATTATCATTATCTAGTTTTGATCATCACAGAAATCAATATGAACTTGAAGTTCAAAAGATAATTTTTTTGTAAAATATAGTAAATCAAGTTACCAGATGTATTTACTGATCTAAAGAGAATAATTAAATCTTATATACCAACTGAAAAATGCTCCTATTAGCATTGATGTCCTTGTAGAACAAGGCATACTAGAAGCGTGTGGACCAAACGGTTCCAAATATAAAATCCAAGAAAAAGAAAAGGAGCAAATATTCAAAGTGGTCAAAAAAGGGAAATACAAACTCTAAAAGAGACCCCTAACATAACTGATAAAATTTCAAAAAAAAAAATCAAGTATTTGAAATTATCGAAAATGAAGATATCTCAATTAATTATGTCATAACGTGAAAAGATGGAACCAATAAATAAACATCAATGATATTTTTTGTATACTATAGAGCTCAATATTATAAAAGTAAAACGAAGATCTTGAACTTATATTTATTGAAGAATGTAAACAAAGAAATGATTGGCCAATGTGGAAAGACGCAATCAAAGCGAAATTGAATTCATTTGCGAAACATGAAGTTTTTGGACCTGAAGTCCGTACACTAAATAGTGTTCAACCAATGGAATATAAATGGATATTTGCGCGAATATGAAATGAGAAAATTGAGATTATGAGATATATAAAGTACGGTTTGTCGTAAAAGTTTTACCCAAAGATCTAGTATTAAATATAGAGTGATATATTTTCTATGGTAAATGCAATTACAATTCTATATTAACTAGACTAGCAATATATGAGAAGATTGAAATACGTCTAATGAATGTAGCTATAGCCTATTTATATAACTTACTTGATAATGATATCTAAATGAAAATCTCAGAGGGATTTAAGTTGCCTGAAACACAAAATTTGAATTCTCGATAAATTTATTCGATCAAAGTAAATAAATTAAAGCAATCTAGATACATGTAGTATAATCTCCTTGGTGCATATTTGTTAAAAGAAAGCTATAGAAATAATCCTATATGCCCATGTATTTTTTATAAAGATTTAGATATAAATTTATTATAATAGCTGTTTATGTTGATGACTTGAGCATTATTGAAACTCTTAAAAAGTTATTAAAAGCCGTATATTACTTAAAGAAAGAATTTGAGATGAAAGACTTTAGAAAACAGAGTTTTGTTTGGGCCTTTAGATTAAACATTTGACAAATAAAATTTGTCCACCAATCTAATTATATAGTAATAGTGCTAAAATGATTTTATATGGAGAAAGTATATCCATTGAGTTCACCAATGGTTATAAGGTCATTGATGTGAAAAAAATACCTTTTTCAACCTCGTGAGGATAATGAAAAACTTCTTAATCCTTACGTACTATATCTTATCGCAATTGGAGTATTAATGTATCTTGTTAGCAATAAATAACTTGATATAGCAATTGTTGTGAATTTATTAGTAAGATATAAGTCTTCTCCAGCTATAAGATATTAGAATAGAATTAAACATATATTTCGATATCTCCGAAGAATAGTAGATTTAGGCTTATATTATTCAAATGCATCAAAATAAAATTTAATTGGTTATGTAGATGTAGGATATTTATCTGATTCACACAAATCTCTATATCAGACAAGTTACTTGCTCACATATAGAGGTACAATTAGACGTTTTATAAAACAAGCTACTTCTTCTAACTATGTAAAAATTTTAGAAATTCATGATGCAAGTAGTAAATGTGTATGGTTAAGATCTATAACTCAACATATTTGAGAAATGTGTGACTTGTCAACAAAAAAGGAAATTTCAACAACATTGTATGGAGATAATACTACTTGCACAGCACAGTTAAAAGAATGAGACATTAGCACAGCACAGTTAAAAGGAGACATTAAAAGCGGTAAAACAAAACATATTAGTGTTCAACAAATTCAGTCAAGTGATAATCTAACAGATTTGTTTACTGAAGTTATTCTGGTTGCAACGTTTAAAAAGTTTGTACAAAAGATTGGAATACATCATTTTAAAAATCTCTATAATGCAGTTATCAGGAAGAGTAAAATATGCACTGTACTCTTTTTCTTCATTAAGTTTTTTCCCACTGGGTTTTTCCTGATAAGGTTTTTAATGAGATAACATTTGAAAAACGTATTTTTGAATTATGTACTCTTTCTCCTTCATTCAGATTTTTTTCCATAAGGTTTTTTCCTTGTAAGATTTTAACGAGGCATATTCTTAATACAATAGACATTCAAGGGAGAGTGTTATGAACAAATATGTGAATGTCCATTATCTTATGACCCAAAAAGTGTAAACCAAGTCAAACAACCCAATAGTCAAGATACAATAAATGTAATATAATTTGAACTCTTAGATAGAATTAGATTAGGACTATGATTCAAGAAGTTGTTGACCTATAAATAAATCTTTCACTTCATTTATAAATACACACTTGAATAAGACCTTACTCCCTTTAAGTACTTTGTTTCCCTCTAAACACTTTCTATTATATTTCTTTCATATTTGAAGATTTATTTCATAACATTTTAGAATTTTTTCTTCAAACTCTTTAAAATTGATATTTTTGGATATTTAAGTTTAGCTTGACAATATGAAAAATAAAGCTCAAAGTTCCAATAGCTTTTTGGGTTTTAAAGCATTCATTACTTTAAAATTGAGTCACATTTTCAATCCAGAATTGATTAAATGATGATAATTGAGTTTAATCAACTCAAATCGACCTTGAATCTCAGTTGAGATAACAATCAAGTCCAATATAATCAAAATACGTTCGCTCAGGTGGGGTTTGAATCTCGAGTTTCTTAATCGAGCCAAGTTCAAGTCCTGATTCAACTGAATAATACCCCTGGCACTAGAAATTTAAATGAAAATTTCCCTTCATGAAGAGGGCAACAAAGAAAATTGAATTTCATTTGGCAAAATTATAGACCAAGGAGACAAAATTGAACATCATTTCTACCAGGGACTGCAATGTCCTACACCTATCACTGATTAGATTGCACAAC